TGGGATCTGTTATCTATTTCATATGGCTTTCACATTTTCATATGCCTGTAGTTTTCTCTACCCTACTACACTGAAAGTATTTCAAGCCATACAGATTCTCTTATGCTTCTTTACAACTTGTACAACCAACTATTACCTAAGATAGAGCCCTGAAGGAAAAGAAACTCAATGAATTCTGGTATTCTGAGTGACTGTTAGAAATAATAAATATATCAGTCCACTCCCCACCCTCCTCTTCTTTCAGTTTCTACACTTCCAGTTCTTGCCTCCTTGCCTATGAGAGTTGTTAATATGATGTACCTTGAGCTCCCTGAAATAAACTTATTATGTATATAACTTCTTCTCTCTATCCATACATCTTGACCCCAAACTCAGCATAAGAAAGGTATATATGGCCGGCCAAGGTGGCTCATGCCTGTAATCCCAACACTTTGGGAGGCCAAGGCGGGAAGATTGCTTGAGACCAGCCGGGGCAACAGAGAAAGACCTGTTCTCTACAAAAAAATTAAAAAAAAGAAGAAGAAGAAGGTTATATAACCTGGTAGTTTGGAAACTCAAGGAATAACCCAAGCAAATCATAATCTTAACAATCTAACTGTGTGGCCTCGCTTTCTTTTAAAAGAAGAAAACTATGATTTTATACATGAATTAACTGAAGTCATATAGATTTTTTTTTTTTTGCCAAGAAAAACTGGCAACTAAAGCCACAGTAGATGAAACTTCTACTATGTAAGGTAGCAGAGCACATAAGTGTTTGTATTGTTTATTTCTACTAGAAACAGCAGATTTAAAAATAACTATGTAAATAATGTTACTTATATAAAACTGGTCAGTTTACCACCTAGATTTTGTCTTACTAGGTTTAGTTTATTTGCAACTACAATATAAGGAGCTCAATAAATGGAGATAAACCTTAGGCACATCTCTTTCAAGAAAAATATACAGTTAATGCAATATAAAAAGCATTTACAGGCCAGGCATGGTGGCTCATGCCTGTAATCCTAGCACTCTGGGAGGCCAAGGCAGGAGGATCACTTGAGCTCAGGAGTTTGAGACCGGCCTGAGCAACAGTGAGACCCTGTCTCTACTAAAAACAGAAAAAATTAGCTGGGCATGATGGCATGCACCTGTAGTCCCAGCTAGCTACTCGGGAGGCTGAGGCAGAAGGATCACTTGAGCCCAGGAGTTTAAGGTTACTGTGAGCTGGGCTGACGCCATGGCACTCTGGCCTGGGCACAGAGCAAGACTCTGTCTCAAAAAAAACAAAAACAAAAAACCCGAACAAGGAAACAAAAAAAAAAGAGCATTTACAGAGCACCTAAAGCCATATAAAAGCAGCAGACTCCAGGTCTTCCTCCGCACTGCTCTGAATAGCCTAATTTAGGGAAAGATAAAACATGAATGAATCAAGTACTAGAAGAATCATTTTGGTAATCCCTCTGTAAAAACCTTTCTAGTTTTCTGAATTTTAGGAAATGATAGGATAAAACTATTTTAGTGATGTAAATTGTTTGAATAATGGTATGAATAATAATCTATTGGGCCAGCCAGACTGAGAACAGAGATGCTACATATTAAGAATCTGTTATAACAATGAACACTGTACACAATTCTCTTATCTAGGGAGTTTATTGACTGTGACAAATATAGCACTCTGGTGTGGGATGCTGATAGTGAGGAGGGCTGTGTGCGTGGGGAGACAGGGCACATGAGAACGCTGTGCTTTTGTACTTTCTGCTCTATCTTGCAAAAACTGCTAAACCTAAAATTACTCTAAAAAATAAAGTATAT